CTCCAGTATGGGCCTGGAGAGGTTCTGCCTCAGTCCTATTCATTTGTATCCCAAGAAAAATAGAGCAGCTAATGGACGGAGAGTGACTGGGTGTGTGTGTGCATGCATGCACAGACATGCCCATTATTTTTGATAATCCTCTCCAAGGAAGATGACTTTGAGTACTCAGAGACTGGAATGATGTGAGGGAGCTAGCCATGCAGATATCTGAGGAGGAACATCTCAGGCTGAGAAAACAGCAAGTGCAAAGTTCCTGGGGTAGGGGCATATATTATGTTTGAGCTAAGGTGACCAACTGATCCAGTTTGCCTCCCCTGGACTGAGAGGATTCCCAGGACACAAGATTTCAGTTTTAAAACCAGAATAAGTTGGTCACCCTGCCAAGGGAACGTCAATGAGGCAAGTGTGGCTGGAGCAGGGAAAGCAAGGGGAGGAGGTAAAGTCAGAGAAGTGACAGGGCATCAGGTCCTATGAGGGCCTGTGAGGACCTTGCCTTTTATTCTGAGGGAGACAGGAACTATTGGAGTTTTTTTTAACAGAGGAGGAACATGATCTGACTTTAAAAACACACCATGGTTTTGGAAACAACAGCTTCAAAGAAACAATGTACTAAATGCTCTGAATGTTTAGGTCCTTCAGTGGGGACTCTGCTTCCTACAATAGTGAATTGGGTAAATCAGACCAACCTTCCCACTTGAGACAACCAAAAAAGCTGGATGAAAAAGTTATTTTTTAAATCTTTAAAACATCAAACCAGACAATACACAAGAGGAGGATCTAGGGAGGTAAAAGGGTGGTTTTGCTCTCAGGGTGTTTATGCATTCTGAAGAAAGAGGTGAGTGATAGCTTCACTTTTAATGGCTTTATGGAGCTAGGGGGGAAAGCTCAAAGTCCAGGGAACCTCAGACCTGAATTTGGATTAAGCTCATCCCAGACTGGTTGTGTCTCCCGGCATATGGCAGAAGCACAGGAAGATCCTCTATCATCTAAGGCCTCAAATTTTTCTTGCAAATAATTTTTAAAATACAATGTCCAACACACAGTCAAAGATAACTAGGCACACAAGTAACTAAGACCCCATGTCTGAAAACCAACCGAAACAGACCCACAAAAACTTAAGATGCTGGAATTATCAGACACCAACTCCGACAGCACCTCATCTGAGCACCACAAAACCCTGGGTGGTAGACACTGCTGTTGTCGCCACTTTAACGATAATGAAATTGAAGCTCAGAAGGCTAGTGACTTGCTTACAATCACCGAGCTGGTAAGTAGGAGAGCTGCAATTCAATACTAGTCAGTTGCTTCTGTAATCTGTGCCGCTAAAAACTTACTGCACGAGAGGGTTCTTAGAAGGACCTTGGAGTGCCCTCGGTGCCCCCCACCCTCGGAAGTTCTAGATGCACGATGTCAGAGCCTGCAGCTGCCCTCGCACCTCGGCCAAGAGCCACGGCATTCCAGGAATGGGAGTGGACGAAAAAGAGACATGCCCGGAGACCATGTAAGGGGACACCTGCCCAGCCACCCACCCTCTCCTGTCTGTAGCGGACTCATGGAAGATGATAACTAGACATAGAAAGTACCCGAAGGACCAACATACTCTGCTGATGGGGGAATAAGTGGCTTTCTGGATGACAATCTGGAAATAGCTATTAAAATGCAAAATGCCCAGTCCCTTCCACCCAGCAATTCCACTTCCAGAAATTTATTCTACAGATACTCTTTCACAAGGCTGCAGAAATACAGGTATAAGGATATTTACTATCACATTATTTACAAGGGCAAAAAACTGGAAACAACCCCCAAAGGTCCACTCATAAAGGGCTAGTTTAAAAATTATACCCATACATATCATGAAGCCACTAAAAAAAAATGAAGTAGACTATTATGCATTGGCACTTAATCTCCAAAATAAAGTGTTAATTGGGAAAAACAACTGCAAAAATGCATATTTTCTTTCATTTCAACATTTTTACATGTACACGTATATGTAGGTAAGTTCACATGTGTGTATATTCATAGAAAAAGTCTGAAATACAACTGGAAATATCTTCATCATTTATGTACTGTGAGAAATTTATAGTGCAGATGTATTACTTGTATAAGCAGAACAAAGTATACACACATGCATATATGTATGTGCATAAGTGTATATATTTTTATTTATTTATATGCTAATTTAAAGGGATTAAATGACCACCTTTCATGTGTATTATTGCAATAGCCTCCTGATTCTTTGGCTCTATTTATCTGCCATGCTCTCTTCCTCAAACGCTCCCAAATCCACTCTCCAAACTTCTATCAAAAAGGATTTTCTGGGGAGAGGGTGTATGTAGCTCAGTGGTAGAGTGCACGTTTAGCATGCACGAGGTCCTGGGTTCAATCCCCAGTACATTCATTAAAATAAGAAACAAATAAAGTAAATAAACCTAATTCTTTCCCCCAGAAGAACAAACTAAAAA